GCATTGGTGCTGCTCACTGTTCTCTTCTTTTACTCCAAGACAAACCAGCTCCTGCTCTCTTTATGCCTTGCATCCAAACCTTATCCCTGGAGGAGCTGCCATCTGAGTCGGTTGGCTGCTAAGTTGTGGAAAGACTTCAGCCCTATTCTTGTCAGCCACAGAAACCCTCTTCCTCCGATTTCTCATCTACTCCTAGATTGGTTTGCTCAGTAGCTGTCCGGACCGCTGCCATCACTGTCATGTCTGCCCCACACACCACCTCCAACTTTGTGCTGGCCTATAGATCCAGTCCTCTACATCCCCAGTCTGGGATAGGACCCCTGTCTCCTCCTGCTTCACTTCAGGTGCCTGGGGTTGACATGGTTCAGTTAACAACCTGCGCTGTTCTCCCACTTTTACTCTCAGGCCTGAGGACTGTTTCTCTTGGTTCACAGACCCTGTTTTTCTCAGGGCCATCACCCACTTCTGAGGTCCCAGTCCTCAAAAGGCAATGCCTTCACTACATGTCATATCTTCACACATCCAAAGTAGATCTTGGGGTGACCCTTCCACTACTGTGACTCGATACACCTTGCTCACAGCCTAGGGGACAAGCTGTTGGTAGGGGATCCCAGCCTACCCACATGGGTGAAATAGCACCCCATTAGTGAGCACTCTTTTGATGTGCCCTGCTTTCCCTCATGAAAAATATACTACTGGTTTCCCTGCTATCCCAGGTTTTGGGAATGATTGGAGGCCGGTTGCTCATCCAGAACTCTATGGCTAGAGTTAACAAGGACATTCTCCCCTTCAGAGGTCTCCCCAGGTCAAGGCATCACCTCTTCTTGCCTTCCCAAGTGGGACACTCCTGGTCTGGCATGCTGCTCAGCTCCCTTCATCTCCACCCTCTGTCCCCTGCCTCACCCATGGATGATGGTCAGAAACACCTTGCCCAGCTTTGAGTTTCCCACAGGCAGGATGTTACAGGGTGGTCCCCTGGGAATCTCTCTTGCCTTAGATACAAACCATGCTCAGGCCACCTTCATCACCACACTGTTTATTATAGTGTTCTGTCAGGCCACTGCCTGTAGTACTATTTACATATATACAAGTCCCAGTCAGCTCCTCTCTTCTAGGGCAACAGGGAGCAGCACTAGCAGCAACCAGCTCTGCCTTCCTTCAGGTGCTGCACCACCCCTTCCCAGGGCTTCTTTCCTCTCTATTGATCAGCTCCCAGCTGCAGGGATTGCTTCTCCCTTTCATTAGCCCTTTAGCTGTGGCCCTACTTGTTAATTGGTCTTCCACTTAGATCCCAGTTAACCTATACTGGTGGGGATTTGCGTGACAGGCTGTTGAGTCAGCTCTTGACTCAGAAGCCCGGTCGCACAGGACCTGCCAAAATTGTTGCAAGCACGCCAGGTTCCTGATTCTGTCAATGGAACTCATCTCTGGACACAACCAACAGGTAGGGAGGTCCTGCAACTGTTGTGCCGCTACATTCAGGTGTGGTCCCAGTGGAAACAGTTCAACGTGGAACTGGTGACGATATGCCTATGGAGTCGGTCCCAATTTGTCTAAAATGGCAGCTTTTACCTAAGGATAAGAGCCAGACTGCTCATTGCTCAAGGGTCGGCACACTGCCTAGTGTCTCCCTTCAGAAATGGTACCACTCTGGCCACCCAAGTTGACTTCTCCCAGCTGGCAGCTCTGGCTTCCCATTTATCTTCTGACCCCAACATCACTAACCCACGGCCCGGCCTGCCTGTGCTACCTTCGCCAGGACCAGCAAGACTTCCAGAAACCTATTTCTCTAGTTGTTTCAGAAGTCGCTCCTGTTGCTAGTATTTTTGCCTCCTGCTGCTTTCAAAGAAAGGTGAAGGAAGGAGGGTCCACCAGAGAAACCTCACCAACTATATCTTTTTTTTTTTTTTTTTTTTTTTGCCCCTGTCTTTTCTGTAACTGCCTCAATTTTGTCTCAGCTTTATAGGGGCCAATCCACATGCCTTCTTTCTTCAGCGAGTGTAAGCTGATGCGCTTTCACACCAGCCCAGGAAAGATTGATGCCACACTGGACTCTGATTCAGGCCCTTGCCTCAGGATGCAATGTATTGGTTAAATAAAAACTTGGGGAAATATCTAAAGTGGTTCCTCAGTCCAACATGGACAGCTGTTCCCAGGTCACCTATTCACTTGAGCAATTGCTGGCCTCCAGAAGGACCAAGTGCTCTTCAGACTATCCCCTGTCGTCTGGCCCCACAGACTCAGCTGGGAGACAGCTGGTTGGTCGCAGGGGAGGAGCTGAACCCATCACCCCTTAAGTGGCCAGCTGCCGTAAGACAGACTCCCAGAGTAATGTCAAGTGTCACCCATCCTCTCCCATGATAGGCACAGGGTCCTCAAATGACATGCTCTGCTGCAGAGTTATGGGGAGCCAGGAGGGATGCAGCCATTAATGGGAATCTCTCCTTGTGCTTCTATGTTCCTGCAGTTCCAGGGTCAAGTCAATCTCCATGTGTTTGAGGACTGGTGTGGCAGCTCCATCGAACAGCTCAGAAGAAACCTCCACTTCCCACTGTACCCCCATGTGAGTGTACGCCGACTCCCTATCTCCTTCCCTGCACAACTCAGCATCTTTACTCCAGACTGCCCCTCCTTTCCTCTTCTTTCCCTTAACTGTACCCTCTCTGCCCCTCCTCCTTCTCTTCCCTTTCCTCTCCCTTCCGCAGCCTACCTTTCACTCTTCCTCCCATTCCCATCTTCCTGACATCACTCCCAGGCCCTTCATTCCCTTTTGCTCTTCCCTTGCCCATACTGCACCCTCTCCTGCTGTTCCCATCCGCTCCAGTTCCACCTGCCCCTCCCTCCATCCTATTCCCTTCATCGGCCCCTCCTCACCTTCTCTCCTTTTGTCAGTCCTCTCCCCTCCAATACTGATACCTTCCAATCCCATCCCATTTCATTACTTCTGTTCTTTCTTTCTTCCACCTTTAGACACGAACCACATTGAAGAAACTGGCAGCGTCTCCAAAATGGACAAACTATGGGCTCCGTCTCTTCGGTTATCTGCATCCTTTCACTGATGGTGAGGAGGTGCCATGGCAGATCAGGGTTGTCATGCTGCCCCAGCCCTCCCTTCCCCTGCTTGAGACCGAACAGAAACGCTCTCATGCAGGCAATCCTAGCTTGATGGCTCTCCGGCCAGGAGCCAGGGATACTGTCCAGCTCTGACTCCAACAGAGTCTGATTGGCATGGATAATATGTGCACGCTCTTCACTGGGGGGTGGGCAGGGAGAACACAGAAGAAAAAAGATATGTAATTTCTGAGCAAGCAAACCAGACACTCCTGCATACACAACATCTATTCACATACACAAACGCACGCTCAGGCACGCTCCCCATGAGCACATAGCTGTCCACACATGCATATGCACACAACCTACCAGCATTTGCACACACATGTATGCATGCCCACATTCTCCTGCATGTGCAGGCACATTTACCCTCACAGGCGCACACACACACACACACACACACACACACACACACACACACACACACACACTGTCTCTATCTGCATCCACACAACCCATGCCCCTTCCACCCACCTCATCCCTATCCACCCATCCACATGCTTCTGTCTATGCACAGCCTCCTTGCAAGCACCCACCCCCACCCATGTGCACCTGCACACACCACCCTTGAGCCCCGATGAACTCCTCCACCCATACATCCTGGTCAGCACTCCAAAGCCTCATGCACACCTAAGCCCACACATCTGTGCCTGCCTCTATGCTTCCTTGGGCACATTCCCAGACACACACTCAGTAAGCAAAGGAGGAGCTGAGGAGAATCTGTGTGGACTTCTCAGCTTCCCCCTCTGTTAGATTTCAGCCAAACTGCACAGCACGGGGAATTAACCAGTTGCACTAACTAGAGCGCAAGAAGACAATCTGCATTTTGTTGAAACGGAAAGATGAGATTTAAAAGCATCAGCAGTGTTTTACAATTCTGAAAGAGAGAGGGGAAGGGGTAGCTGGGCACAGGGAAAGTGCTGTGTCAGAGGGGATCAGGCTACCCCTCTCTAGGAGTGGAAGCTTTTTTTCTGTCTGTGTATAGATCCTGTTAATGGAGAGCACCACTTAATCCCAGAAATCTCTTGGCAGGGGACTTTGAGTTTGCTATTGCTGCAGATGACAATGCTGAGTTCTGGTTGAGTCCAGATGAAAAGACCTCTGGTCTCCAGCTGCTGGCCAGTGTAGGCAAGGTACAGTGCATGCTGCATGGCTGTTTTAGTCAAGGTTCTAATATGTCTGGGCGGGGACGGTTTACGTTGTGTTTCAGCAGGAAGAAAGGGTGGCTGGAATAGCCAAGCTGTCCTCCTGATCAAACTGTGAGAGGCCCCCGCAAATGGAGGACTTACACCACATGGCATATCTGGGGCAGCTTGGCTTATTCCCGAGCTGCTGGAGTCCTGGGCTGTAATCAACAGACCTGGCTCTGTTTCCAGCTACTGGAGCTCATGGTCAGATTTCCCAGTAGGATGAGCGCAATCCCCACACCTGGACAGTAACCAGGGAACCTGGGTGAAGAAGTGCATTGTAACCTGGGAATTTTCTGTCTTTCACAGACTGGCAAGGAGTGGACAGCACCAGGGGAATTTGGGAAATTCCGGAGCCAGCAATCAAAGCCTGTGAGGTAAGTGATCGGGAAGGGTTCCGCAGGGGTCTGTTTTGGGACCGGCTCTGTTCAATATCTTCATTAACGACTTAGATATTGGCATAGAAAGTACGCTTATTAAGTTTGCGGATGATACCAGTTAGTTTAACTTCTGTGCCAGGGAAGATAATGGAGCAAGTAATTAAGGAAATCATCTGCAAACACTTGGAAGGTGGTAAGGTGATAGGGAA